CTGCACTGTGAATGTTTACATGTTATGTGCAATTAAACCATGGCAACATCTAATGTTTGTGTAGTATTATGTTCAGCAGACTGTGTTCTTCTATTGTTGTGACTTAGATGATGTTCAGAGCACATTTTATGCCCAATTCATGCAAAACTCCACGTAATCCCAAGGGGTTCACATACTTTTTCTTGCAACTGTATACAGATCTCCGAATAGGCATAGTAATGAATGTCAACAAATCTGAAAAAGAGTTATAATGAAATAAACAAATGCATTTGTTTCATTAGGATGACATCACATGACACGTTAGTAGTTCAGGCCCATGGGGAAATAATTCAACTTTCAAATTGGTTATATAATTCGGATTTGGATAACAAACGGATCCAAATTTCATTCCATTTGTTAATTTAGATGCACATGACGCCAGTCGATATTGTCCAATTAGCTCATGGCATTTTTATTGGTGGGTTGGACTGGGGTCCAACATATTTAATCCATCCAATTCAAATCCGTCCAATTTGATAATATATCGAATATATAGCAATCTTCCAGAAAAAATGCTACATTTTTCGAATCCACCCGGACCAACAAATATACGAAACAAATGCCAAAAATGAATTGATTTAACGTAACGAATATGACGAAACCCAATTGTTCAGTGAATGAATGCATCTCAAACTAAACAAACATTTCCGGCACATGTCTAGTTTCTTCCCCCCTGCCTTCTGGGATCTCTCTTCAGAGGAGCTCCTACTTCACCTGATCATGAGGAGAAGGGTCCACACAGCCTTTTGGTGTGCCTTTCCCCAGTCAGAAGCCTTGAACCTTGGGGGGGGGGGGGGGTCCTTCCACCCAAGTGCATTTTTTGTTAATATGCGCTTTTTTGGTTCACTTTGGTTTTTACTTTTCGCACATCGCACCAGAGACTTAACAGAGAATATGGCATTCCCCATCCTGCAGCCACACGTATACAATGGGTTTGTATACAGGCAGGCAGCGAATACCTCAGTCACTTATGATTGGTCCAGCACAGGGACAGCTTGCTAGTAGGCTCATTCAGGTGGGTTTGGACTGGGATCTGAATATACCTGAGCTCCTCCTGAATCCTGAGTCATGACCCAAGAAAGGTATGCAGATCTATGCTATTCACCCTGAGGTCATCACAGAGGACAAGGGGGCACTCTTTATGTCTGGAGGAAAAGAAATTTAATCTCCAAACATGGAAAGGTTTCTTCACAGTAAGGCTACATTCACAATAGCGTTGTGTGCAGGCGGCAGAAAGGCGTTTGGGAAGCGTTTTTACCGCTTCCCAAACGCCTCTGACAATTCTGCACATTGCAGCACATGGTGCTGTTCTAACGGGAGCGTTAGCGTCGCGGCAAAATGGACGCCTCTGGTCGAGTCAGGAGGCGTTGAAGCCTCCTATTCTAGTCTATGGTGCCGCTCCGCAAACGGTGCAGTTGAGGGGCATTTGCGGAGCAGTAACACCATTCAAACTTCATTATAGGTGTTTGTAGGGCGTTTTTAACACTCAGCAAACGCCTAGCAACCTCCGCTAAACCGCGTATTGGCATTTGCAGAGCATTTGCCGAGCATTAAAAAAACGCTCCGCAAACACCGGACCAACACCTGCCAAGCGCTATAGGGGTGTTTGGCAAGCGTTGGTAAAACAGTCACGTGTGAATGAGCCCTAAGAGCTGTGAAAATGTGGAATAGACTCCCTCAAGAGTTGGTTCTGGCCAGCTCAGTGGATTGCTTCAATAAGGCCTGGATTATTTCTTAGATACACAGAATATAACTGGATACTAACATTCATAGGTAAAGTTGATCCAGAGAATACCCGATTGCCTCTCAGGGGATCAGGAAGGAATTTTCCCCTGCAGGAGCAAATTGGATCATGCTTTGCTGGGTTTTTTTTTGCCTTCCTCTGGATCAACTGTGGGTATAGGATAACTTTTTTTTTTATGGTTGAACTGGATGGACTTTTGTCTTTTTTCAGCCAGACTAACTATGTAACTATCTAGAGTCAGAAGCACTTATCTGCAAAATGCTTCTGGTCAATGACTCAAAATTAAGTATCCACAGGGTCAGTATGACAGCCAGGCAACTAGCATATACACAGTGGGCATTCCCCATACTTCTCCATATAAGGGCTCATTCACACTCGCAGGTGGGGGTGGTAAAACCATGTGGTCAAGTCACGCTATTGCTGCCAGAGGCACATGTACACATGCCACGGCCACAATTATACCCCATATCGTGAACGTGCATGATCCTTTCAAGTGAATGTGACCGCCCCGCAACTTTGTGCAATGCTTGTGGTTGCAGCATGTCAGCGCAGGATTCAAGGGGCTCAGAGCGGAGAGCAAGCTAGCGTGAGTGAGGTTCCCTTTAAACGCAGTCTACATGCTTTTACACTGCAATGTCAGCGGATGAGTATTGCATGTAATTATCATCATTGCAGCTGTGTGCACATTAGTTACGCTGGGTAGTAGGCGCTTCTTCGCTGGCATAGAAATACTCGTTGAGCGAGTCCTGATCAGAACGCCTTTATGTAACAGAGAGGATAAGCCTTGCACAACTTCCTCCATGGAGGGGGAAATAGGAGGAGACTGAGCGGCAGAAAGCCCTCCTGTTCCTTCACAAAGGAGGAAAAGGACAAAGTCATATGTATGTATCAGAGGCAGAGTGCACCCAGCAAGTGACAGGCACAAGACCAGCCCTCCTGTGTGACCTGTGCGTGGGTGGAAGCTGAACGCAGCATGGATCTGCTTATCCTGCTCACACTCTGCTGCCTTGCCTACTTTCTCATACAGATCATCAGGTTTATTAAAGCTGATGCAGATTTAACTTTGCTGTGGGCAGAGCGCTTTGGCCATTCGCCAGGTAAATATCAGATGCTGCTGAGAAACTGTCCTAAGGGTGCGATAAGCCTAGGCTCACACTACTGCTGCATATTCATTCGATTTTTCAGGGGGGGGGTTTGTAGCGCGCTTTTGCATGTGATTGATGCATTTTCTTGCTTCATGGCTTTTTTTTTTTAGTCCTCATGCACACTTAATGTTTTTACAGCGGCTGTTTTTGGCTTTTGACGTTTTTTTCTACAGCCAGTAAACTCCGCAGCATGTTATCCTATGTGTCCATACACACATAGACTGTAATCAACGTTTTTTGGTTGGAAAAAAAAAAACCCAGAACTAGTGAGTTTCTAGAGGTGTTTTTTTAGCTGTAAAAATGCTCTAACACTAAAAAAAGCAGTAAAATGCTGCAAAAACTGGCGTTTTTGGATGTTTTTTGACCCCAAAAAATATTGGTGGTTAACAAAACGCTAAAAACCACAAACGTGGAAAAACGTCACTAATCACGGCAAAACGCAACTAATCGCTAATGCAAAAAAAGCTAAAAAACTCACGTTTTTAACGTGACTTTACACAGCTAATGTAACCAGGGTTATTAAAATGCCGCGTGTGCATGGAGTCTGAGGAGGAAACTGGTTGTTAAATACAAAACACTGCCAAAAACGCATATCTATGTGCTTTTCATGTGCTCCCATTGAAGTTTATGGGGCCAAAAACGCACAATGCTACATCAGAAGAAGTGCCTGCACCTTTTTCAAAAATAGCACCGCACCAAGCTGCATTAACATGAATGTGCACCTTAGAGAATAATGTGATTTCCGCTGTCGTGCATGGCATTGCAGCGTCAGATGCAGGGTAAATCGCATCAGTGTGAATGGAGCCTTACATTTGTAGATAATGGATGTGCATTGCATTAAGGTAGCAGATTAAAATCAACAGACTTCCAATGCACCGAGGGTTACTACCTCTTCCCTTTAAGGCTAGGTTCACTGTGCAGGTGGTGCCTTGGCAGAAATGCGGACCCGCGGGCTGGTGCCATTAGTTCTAATGGCACGCCGCCCACAAGGGAAAACGCAACCATCCTGGGAACCGTGGTTCCCGTGCAGGCTGCATTTTCCGAAGAAGTGCAGGGACGTCTTCCCTACGTGTCACAGGGCACGAGAGTCCATTCAAATGAATTGGCTCTCGTGCCCACGCAAAACGTGGCCAGCATGGCCGCATATATGTGAACCGGGGCTACGTCCTCATGCATACTTGACGTTTTTACAGCAGCTGTTTTTGGCTTTTGAAGTTTTTTTTCTACAGCCAGTAAACCCCCCAGCATGTTATCCTATGTGTCCATGCACACATAGACTGTAATCAACGTTTTTTGGCTGAAAAAACCCCCAGAACTAGTAGGTTTCTAAAGGAGTTTTTTAGCTGTAAAAACGCTCTAATGCTGAAAAAGGCTTTAAAACGCCGCAAACCGGCATTTCTGGACATTCTTTTGACCAAGAGAAAATAATTTTTTTGAAAAAAGGCTCGCTAAAAACACAAACGCGGAAAAACGCTGCTGAACGCTAATGAAAAAACGCTAAAAAAAGCTGTAAAACTCATTCTGTTAACATGACTTTACACAGCTAACGTTACCAGCGTTCTCAAAACACCCCATGTGCACGAGGACTAAAAATGTCCGGCGTGCACGAGGACTAAAAATGTCCGGCGTGCACGAGGACTAAAAATGTCCGGTGTGCACGAGGACTAAAACCGAACATATATTCATTACACAGGTTCTGCGGCTGATTGAAATGTTAATTAAACTCACATAGGGCTCTTTCACACGGGGTGGACCCATTTAGCAGATCAGCTTGCTTAGCGGGGAATCTTTCCACTGATCCCAGCTGAGCAAGCAGATGACAGCTCTGTGTCCGCTCCGCTGCTGCAGCGCAGACACAGAGCTGCTCGCTCTCCTTAATGGGCGCTTAGATGAAAATGGACTGCCTGTCCATTTTCATTCGATCCAATAGACAGACAGGGAATTGGATCCCCATCCATCTGTTTTTGGCGGATCGGATGTCGGCGGGTCCGTTTATACCCACTGCTCCATAGAGGAGAATGGAGGTTCTGATCGGGTCCGCCTGAAATACAGGCAGTCGGACCCAATCGGAACGTCCGTGTGAAAGAGCCCTTAGTCTAGGTTCACACCTATGTGTTTTCAGCAGCATTTTGCGGAAACGCACAGCCGTCCATTTAACATGATTTCCTATGGGACACGTTCACATCTCCGCATTTTCACCCGGTGTGCTTTTTGGAAAGGGTCAGGGACTTTTTTAAATGCAAAATGTTGCATTTTTGGTTCTATAGACTTCAATGGAGACGCTGCAGAAAAGCAAGTAGTGTGTTTTTGCTGCATTTTTTACATGGTTTTTGATGCGTTTTAATCTGCCTAACAGCAAGAAAAAAAAATACAAGGCATCAAAGCATGTGCAAAAACGCACTGCAGAAATGGATCAAACGCAAACTGCATAGGTGTGAACCTAACCTTAGAGCCTTATCTGCAATAAATTATCCTCGAACCTGTGTAATTAATATGTGTTCCGTTTTAAAGGGAGGAGGTGGCAATCCTAGATGCACCAAAACGTACAATAAATCGGACCTCAAATCTTTGTCGCAATACACTGCACTATAATGGGATGCATTACATGCGTTGACTTGGTGTGTGGGAATGCTCTTCAAAATGAATAGCTCCGTAATACATCAACATATATAATGCTGTCATGTGTTAATTGCCCCGACACATGGATGGAAATCAACTATTAATCTGAAAGCATGATAAAAAATTTTTTAAAAAGTGACTTGTGATGACATCGTTTTCACATCCGTGTGTTGCGGTAACACTCTTGAACCCGCATTCTACTGCAAAGCACGGTAATGGACAAAGCTATTGAACTTTCTATGGGGCCGACGCATTCAAATCATACCATAGGTTTTTGTCTTCACAAAATGAGTTGCTTAAAGTTTAACTCCAGGCACAAATGCATTCATTTAAATATATTCCTCAGTAGTCACAAATGATATATGCCCACGATGTGTGCACCAAATGTCTTTGCAAACCCAGATATTGCCCTGTTAACGTAGTGGTGGTATCATCACTGTGCTGTACATAGCAGAAAACAGAGCTGTGGGAGGGGCCCAGCAGGCCCCACCCACTACCGGCTGCCTGCAGAAAATTACAGGAGGAGACAATACCAGTTACTCTGCACAGGGAGAAGAAGTAGCCATGACTGGTCTTTTTTACAGGAAGCTCCTGCACAGGGGCGCAGCTTCACACTGGAAATACTACACAGATCATGAGAAATATAAAAAAGTACACCAAGATTTAAAGGGTAACTCCACTTTCATGGGAAACAATTAGCAAATAAAAAATTCATAGTGTATAGCAATACAACGACTCAAGTCATATTGTAATTGAATGTTATTATAAATGACCTTTCCTTTTCAATCTGCAACGCTATCATTTTCTGTACAATGCAGTATGGCTACCTGGAGGCGTTCTGTATACAGATGCTGCATGCAATGCCCCCCAGAAATGTAATTTCCTGCTGGTGTGATTGACTTGCTGATTTTCCCAGAAATCTGCACTAAGATACAAGTCAGATTTTTGACATCCCCTGCCACAAATATGTCATTTTTTGGTGAGATACTCCCAAAAGGAAAGTACATCTAAAGGGATGCAGACTCTGCCACTTTCCTTATTAAAACCTGCAGGTGCAGCAGCTGATCGATAGTTATAAAACCACTCCCATACAGATTCACTTTGTACATCGACAAACAAACATCTATTTCTTCAGAATAATAAAAGGTAGGAATCTGCAATAACATTTTTTTTAAAGTCCTTGCAATGTACATAGATCACTCGGAGGGGAATTTTTTTTTTCTCCACAAAAGTGGAGTTAGGTTTTAAGTAGGATTACACATGAGTCTGTTTAGACAATGTTTGGTCATTTTCAAGTTCAATTTTTTTATTGTAGTGAAATCCACAAAACTGCGGCATGTTCTATATTTAAGGCTGTAGTTATGGCTATGCGTTAGACACATTGTGTAGTCATTTTGGGGAATGTGCCTGTTAATTCACCCCCCCCAATGCATCACGCCAGTGAATGTGTTGAGGTGCATCAGAAAAAAAAAAAGGTCAGCTGATGTTGGATATTGATGATCCATTGAAGATAAAAGGGATTCTGCCTGAATTGCATTTAGTGGGTGGAAAGAAAAGGACAAGTATGACAGAGATGTCATTGATTATTACAGGACACTGTGTGCAGCCTAAAAAAAAAAAGGTCCAACGTATGTAAAAATTATGTTTACATTAAAAATATATGTATTATAATGTTTGTTTATTTTGTAGAAAGTAAGCTCCGTGGCAGCGTTGTGTGGGTGACCGGGGCATCAAGCGGCATCGGCGAGGCGGTATGTTACCAGCTGGCCAAATTAGGTGCCCAGCTAGTCCTCTCCTCCAGACGTGAGGCTGAACTGCTGAGAGTGAAGAAGAAATGCTTGGGTTTGTATTATCCCGTTACTGTCATGTGCTGATGTGTTAATCTGTATTTGTAGCAAGGCAAATATTTGAAGATAACACATTTGTATTTACACAAGCCTTATCAAAGTAATAATGATGTCTCCAATACATAGTTACATAGTTAGTCTGGCTGAAAAAAGACAAAAATCCATCCAGTTCAACCATAGAAAATGCTATAGACATTTCATTTCAAAGAGAAGTATGGACTTTGAACAAAATAAACAATTATACTCAGCTAGGCGGATGCAGCATCAATCCAATGCTGAAAAGCTGAGCCAGGTGCCGGTCCAGGCTTCTGGGAGAATCCTGACTAGATGGTCAGGATCTTTTCAGAGCCTGGATCGGATCTGTGACGTCAGATGAACATGTGTCACAGGAGTGCACAATGAACTGCACTTGTGATCCATAGCAGTATAGACAAAAAAGCTTTGGCTATATTTCTGCTTTAATTTTTTTTTTTTCTGTGTGTTACTAAGGCTGTTACTGTTCACACTTATGGAACTCAAAAACATGTTCAATCTTGCATGCATTCCTGCAGTACATACAAACATGCCAATCACAGCCCATCTGTGCCATGAGGTTAGCTGTGGCCAATCACAACTATACACACAATGAATCGATTGCCTTCAGTAAAAATGCTTGCCTATAGCAGTGAAAGTGAAATTCAATGATTCAATCATAATGTATAAGAAAAAAAAAAAATCCTGATCACTTCCCTAGAGTAGTACAATGTTACTATGGTAACATTGTATTGCTCTGGTGATAGTGTGTTTAACCACTAGCCTACCGGGCACTTATACCCCCTTCCTGCCCAGGCCAATTTCCAGCTTTCAGCGCTGTCACACTTTGAATGACAATTGCGCGGTCATGCAACACTGTACCTATATGACATTTTTTATCATTTTTTTTGTGACAGAGCTTTATTTTGGTGGTATTTAATCACCTCTGGGGTTTTTATTTTTTCTTAAACCAAAAACCACTGAAAATTTTGAAAAAAAAAAAATGTTTTTTCTTAGTTTTTGTTATAAAATTTTGTAAATAAGGGATTTTTCTCCTTCACTGATGTGCGCTAATGAGGCTGCACTGATGGACACTGATAGGTGGTACTGATGGGCACTGATGAGGAGGCACTGATAGGTGGCATTGACAGGCATCACTGATGGGCACTAAAAAGGCAGCACTGATACATGGCACTGATAGGTGGCACTGACTGGCACTGATAGGCAGCACTGATAGGTGGCACTGATTGGCATTGATAGGTGGCACTGACGGGTGACACTGAAAGGCAGCTCAGATGGGCACTGATATGTGGCATTGATGTGCACTGGTAGGCACTGATATGTGGCACTGATGAGCACTGACATAAGGCACTGATGGACACTGACAGGTGGCACTGCTGGGGCTACACTGATCATCAGGGCACACTGATCATCAGTGCCCTGATGATCAGTGTACATGTCCCCTCCGTGGAAAGCCGATTACCGGCTCTCCTCTCAAGCTGTCAGCGTGACAGCTCGAGAGGAGAGAAATGCCGATAACCGGCATTTTCCTGTTTACATGTGATCAGCTGTGATTGGACACAGCTGATCACATGACCGAGCCAACATCTTCGGCTCTTTCCGTGATCGGTGATCCACTGTGTCCGAGGGACACAGCGCACCGCCTATTGCCGCACTACACGCTCCCTGAGCCGCGCATGCGCACTGAGAATGGGAGGACGTCATATGACGTCCTCCCAGAACGAGAGAGCCACCTTGCGCCCGTCATATTACTATATGGTGGGCGGGAGGTGGTTAAAAAAAAGAAACATTTTAACAAAAAAAGAGAAAAGAAAATTAATAAAAATATATTCATTTTTTTTTCATAATGTCAACAGTCAGTGTCCCTGACCACCGGCACACCAGTTACATGAAAAATGCTGTACTGGTGATAGTATGTAAAAAAAAAAAAAAAATTTTAAATTGTGACTTTTTTACATTTCTTCATTTCCCTAAAAAAAATTACAACTTCAAAAAACTTGCCATGCCTCGTGCTAAATACCTTGGACTGTCTACTTTCCAAAAAGGGGTAATTTGGGGGTATTTTTTTACTGTTCTGACATTTTAGGGCCTCAAGAAATGAGGCTGTCAGTACATCAAGATTGCATTCAGATATATACCATAGTTTGTGGACACTAAAACCTTCCTACAAACTAAATAATAAACACTGATTTGGGTTATTTTCACCAAAGAAATGTAGCAGAATACATTTTGGCCCTAAAGAAATTGTGGGTTTTTTTGTTCCAGATTTTCTGTATTTTTTTCATTTATTTAGCAAAAAATAAAAAAACCAAGTGGTGATTAAATACCACCAAAAGAAAGCTCTATTTCTGTGAAAAAAGATACAAATTTCATTTAGGTACAATGTTGCATGACCGCACAATTGTCATTCAAAATGCAACAGTGCTGAAAGCTGAAAATTGACCTGGGCAGGAAGGGGGGTGAAAGTGCCCGGTATTGAAGTGGTTATACTTGCACCTAAATGTGCAAAAACACAAGCGACAGAGTGTTACAGTACATTGTAAGCAAATATCAGAGGGCTCAGGTAGCGTAGACAGTGGTGTTCCGCCTGAGGTACCATGTAGTGTTTCGTTGTCTGACCGCAGCACTGAATGTTACAGATTACTTCCCAAGCGTTATTAAGAAGAGAGGCATATTTGGGATGGGCTAATGTTGGAGGCATTGTGTGTAATATCTGGTCTGCAGTATTCCAGCCAAGGGGTCACCAGTACAACTCTTGCCAAGTTCCCCAATATATTTGAAATCGGCCTTACTAGTGGGACAGGAGAAAACTGTCAATTTATCAGAAGTTTTCTTTTCCAATCACACTTTTACAAGCCTAAGCCTGGGATTTTCAGGGCTGGAGATATACTTAACCCTTTCCATCGTCTCCCGGCCCTTTAAGAGGATCTAACTGCAGGGAGGTGAAAGGCGGGCATGCCGATCATTTGACTGCTGTGATTGGCAGTCACAGTGGTCAAGTGATTGGAAAGCTCCCTGAGGGAGCTTTCCGGTACCTACCCATTACTGTGCTGGGAGCATGGTCTCAGCACAGTAAACCGTTTACCTAGTACTGCATATATGTGATTGTTCAGGGTTTAAAGCCCACACAGCCCCATAGCCTAGGGTGGTAAGGCACTCCCCCCCACTCATCTCTGCTCCTCCCCCTCCCATCTCCAAGCTAACAGACTGCCTCCAGACTACAGTGTTCACAGTTAACTCTTCCAAATCTCATGTTCTCTCTGCTTCACCTTTTTTGTGCTGTTGTTTTTTTTTTTTATTATGATTTTTTTGTGTTTTGTTTTTACCAGAGATCAGCAATTTAGAAAACAAAGATATCTTAGTTGTTCCTCTTGACCTAATCAACATAAATGCCCACAAGGCAGCAACAGACAAAGTGGTGGAACATTTTGGCAGGGTGAGTGCTTTTTAAGTGAAATATATTCTAGTGAAAACGTTTATATAGTGCATGTGAGACATTTGCTGTGTATGATGGACAATGGCTGAATATGGTGGTGCTGCTTACACACACCGTATAGAAGTGTTCAGTAGAGCTTAGAGGCTTGTTTACAAATTTATTTCAAAATTCTGAATCTAGTGGTCTGATTTATAATCACTGGAACCAAAATGGGTTAATTATCATTGATTACCAATGAATCCAACTAATAATACCTGACTGGTTGCTATGGGGACAGTTCTGCTTTTGTACCAATTTTAATAACAAAAGTGACAATGTTACCTATTACAACCTGCCAAATTCTTTTTATTTATTTTCTCTATGCCAATAATATACTATTGATAATCACATTATAAAATCAATATCACCACAAAAAAAATTGCATTTCAATTGCTAATAGGGTAATTGGGTAACAAGGTTCCCTTAAAGCATATTTCCACTTTTGTAGCCAAATTGGGAAAACGCCTACTTTATATTCGTTACATGTTCCCATTCACATAACATAATATTAAATAAATACAAATAGCTAGTTACATTTTTAGGTGTATTTTACTTGCTTAAAAATCCTTACCTGATCTCCCAGCTTTGTAATGTTTAGGAGAGGGCTGTGGAGTAATGAACATAATTAACCCTGTCTGTACTGTGTTGCAGTTCTTCATTATCAGCTGTAAACTACATCTGAACACAGACTGTCCTAACAAAGGGTTACAAATGTAGAAACCACCCTCATGCATTTAGGGATAGCTAGAGTCTGTATAGGGACAAAAACGCTGTCAGACTTTACAGAAATTCTTAAAATCAGCCACATTCTCCTTAGAAACATCTAAAAGGTAAGTAATGATTTTTAGCTATGCTTTGTAAACAGGAACATACAACAGATAGTGGGGTAATCTCAAATTGGACTGCAAAAGTGGAAATGCGCTTTAAAGAGGACCCCCTATAAAAACAGCAATAATATGTTTAACGCTGTACCTAAGTTAGTAGGTGAGCATAGGTCCGTGATTCTTTTCCTTCACTTTCAGCCCTTTTTATGCCTCCTCTGTGCTGCATTCATCTAACTTGTCTCTATTCACTAAAGGGACAGGCAACATTTTGTTCCTGGTCAGTGTCCAATCTTTGCCAATTCTTCAGTGCTGTATCACAATTTTGGCAGTGCTAATTTGATGGTCTCTTCCAGCATAGGGATCTCACTGTTAATTACTCTGCCTGTTTGTGTCTGTGTCAGATCTAATTACTATTTAGCTCTCATCTACATCAGTGCTATACTGAAAGACCCAGAGAATGTGGGATATCTAGTTTCTTCACAGGAAGTTTCAAGTCTCAGACAGACAGAGGCAATCCATTAACCTGTGCAATGCCAAGCCTCATGCCCCACAAACAAAATCTTCTAGACACTGTGCATACAAGGCAACAAATCACACCATGCACTACAGCAGACTTTCTCAACCAGGGTGCCTTGAGGTTTCTTGAGAGGTGCCTTGGCCTTGTCTAAAAATTGACCAAAACTTGTATACAAGCCAGTGGGTGGATCAAGCTTGTCTTTTAGTTACAGAAAGCTACAGATTTTCATTGTGCACCATTACGACCTTTTAGCCGCCGGCATCCTGACAACCAATGACATCATCAGTTGATAAGGAGGATGTCAGCTGCCTGCACAGCATCCTAGTTTGACCCTTCCCTCACCATCAGTGCTGGGGTCACATTAGCTCAGTAATGAAGAAAAACTGGGAGAGAAGATAAACATTGGAATACTAGTCAGTGTGCAAAAGTGTATTAGCTTTGAAAGAATAAATCACCTCCAATATTGGGTGTCCTACATGTGTGGATGTTGCTGCATTATATAAAACTATTAGAATAGATTTTCACATTTTAGAATGGAGTGCTCTTTTAAAATTATAGACAGTTGAGAGGCACCCTATTTTAGAACAGGGTGCTTCAAGACTGTCCCTAATTTTAAAGGGTGCCTTGACTGAAAAAAGGTTGAGAAACATTGCACTAAGGATCAATGCATGTCCTATGCAGGTAAAAAAAAACACAAGGTGCAGGTAGGAAAGTTTATAATACCTTCATACACAACCTAACCCTACAATCCTAAACCTGTTCATTACTAAAATGATAAACATTATTACAACAAACACATTGTGATCACACGGTTAATAAATTGTCTAAAATCTCTTGGTAAACTGATGCCTTAAGAGTTCCCTTTACTGGAACTAAGGGGTCAAGCCCATCCCCTGAATAACAACTCCACACCATAATCCCCCCCTCCACCAAAAGTTACACTTGGCACAATGCAATCAGGCAAGCACCGCTCTCCTGGCAACCGCCAAACCCAGACACGTCCATTGAATTGCCAGAGCAGCGTGAGTCATCACTCCAGAGAACACGTCTCCACTGATCTAGAGTCCAGTGGTGGTGTGCTTTACACCACTGCATCCAACGCTTTGCATTGCATTTGGTGATGTAAGGTGATGGTAAGGTGATGTAGCTCCTCGGCCATGGAAACCCATTCCATGAAGCTCTCTACGCATCGTTGTTGTGCCAAACTGAAGACCACATGAAGTTTGGAGGTCTTTAGCTATTGACTCTGCAGACAGTTGGCGATTTCTGCACACTGTGCACTTCAGCAAGCCCATCCCCACACTGTCATTTTATGTGGCCTACCACTTCATGGCTGAGTTGCTGTTGTTCCCAGTTGCTTCCATTTTGTTATAATACCACTAACAGTTGACTGTGGAATATTTAGTAGCAAGGAAATGTCACGGATGGACTTATTGCACAGGTGGCAATCTATCACGGTACCACGCTTGAATTCACTGAGCTCCTGAGAGCGACCCATTCTTAAACAAATTTTTGTAGAAGCAGTCTGCATGCCTAGGTGCTTGATTGTATACACCTGTGGCCATGGAGGTGATTGGAAAACCTGAATCCAATGATTTGGAAGGGTGTCCCAATACTTTTGGCAATATAGTGTATATCACAGTTCTTAGCACTGTAAAGCAATGCACAAAAGCTATGAACCTAAAAATATGGTGCTCCGATTATTATACTTAGAGTGAAAACTGAAACTTATGTACCTTTTTTGGATGTTTTGAAAAAAACCCAGCCCTATAGATAGGCACAGAACGCCTGTGCATATAGGCAACAGAGGGAAAAGTGCAGCTTTTCCCTGCATAGTTGTCGACCACACATTTTTTTTTTCCTATACAAATTTAGCAATGTTATTGTATGGCCATACACCATTAGAATTTTGCTTCAACATTTGTACAGAAATTCTGAAAAATCATTCATCAGGCATTTGATCATGCCATCATATGGGAAATTAATTGAAAAGCCCTTAAAATTTTGTCTAGACCTATTTGAATGGAGACCTTTAAAGAGGTTTCTCATGTTCATGGTACAATCTATATGATTTTCTCGAATAAAATTCACATTCAGTTTGTTTTCATTTGTTCGAGAAACAATTTCCATCCCTCTCCTTTTCTAGTGACTACGGTTGAAAATGATGGTCAATTTGACCCCACTAACCATTAGCAAATTTTCATATGAAAATCTACTGGTTTATGGCCAGCCGGTATAGGATCCGTAAAAGAAGGAAATGTTCTGTATGGAAATAAGTGATCCTAGCAGAGGGGTGTTGCTTTTTGTGTCAAAGGTTGTGTGTCTACAAGCTCCAGAGATAAAATTCTAGCCCTTCTGTATTCACTTTCTACCTGCATATGGTTTTTCTCACAGATTGATATCCTGGTAAATAACAGTGGGCGATCGCAGCGCTCTCTTTGTGTGGATACAGATCTGGATGTTTTTCGAGGGTTAATGGAACTTAATTACTTTGGGACTATTTCCCTGACTAAGCATGTTTTACCCCATATGATCGAAAGGAAGAAAGGAAAGATTGTCACTATAAGCAGTGTGACTGGCTTTATTGGAGTGCCTCTGGGCAGTGGATATGCTGCCAGCAAGCATGCTGTCCAGGTAAGCTTTTCCGGTTGAGTAGAGGGAGTCACCTTCATAATGCAGTATGGAATGGTCTGATCGAGGGTTACTGATTTCAATGCAGACCACCACTGCAGTAATTGTGTGGCCATTTATTTTTTTGCAGGGCTTCTTCAACAGTCTCAGAATAGAACTTGGATGTTATCCAGGTATAACAGTGAGCAACATATGTCCGGGACCTGTACAGTCAAAAATTGTGGAAAATGCTTTTACCGAACACCCAAATCAGGTACCATGACGTGTACACTTTTTCAGAAAACCAAAATATTTGTAGCATGCCTTAAAATACGAGGGGTGTTCAAGTCAAACCAAGACTTTTAATTCTTGCAGGTATAAAAAGGGATGCTAGTGTGGTGATACTACACGCAGTAGTAAGTGGCAAGTGTGTCCTATTGCTGATAGGCGGCGCACATGTCGCAGGCCAGTCTAGAGACCGTTAACCACTTGCCAAACGAATAACGGCTACAGTGCGGTTGTCCAGTTCTGGGAGGGCGGCATATGACGTCTTCCCAGAACGCGTCCTCCCGTGCACCCGGTGATCTCTGTGATTGCTGTGTCCTACGAACACAGCTGATCACGTGATATGGTAAAAGGCCAATCACAGCAGCCTTTTACCACATGATCAGCTGTGTCCAATGACACAGCAGATCACTGGGCAAATGCAGTTGCTGGTTATCGGCTGCACTTTCCTCACGCTGTCACAGGAGCTGTATTCAGAGTGCAGAACCCATTTGTCATTCCTGAGAAGACTTCCGAGGGACAAGCTATCTTCCCTAGGACAAAGGTCCCTTCTTCCACCTAGGCCCAGATGGAGCAGTATGATTGGTTAATCATACTAGCATCCCAGAGGGGGTTCCCTGGCTGCTTCTTCACCTCCAGATGTGACATGTCATAATATATGCCTATGATATATCTGGTGAGTGTACATCCATCCAAGGTGGTGGATTCCCTTTTGTGATTGTTTGCACATTCACACCCTGCACGTTGCAATTATTGCACTTTACAACATAAGGACAATATTTGAATGCATTTGTTGGATGGAATTGTAATTGGATATGTGCAACCACAAACATTGCTATTGATTTATAATATTGCACTTTAGTGCACAGATTATCAGTTATTCACGGACTCTATTTTCTTGCTGACTTTATACAGGTGAAACTCAAAAAATTTGAATATCGTGCAAAAGTTCATTTATTTCAGTAATGCAACTTAAAAGGTGAAACTAATATATGAGATAGACTCATTACATGCAAAGCAAGATAGTTCAAGCCGTGATTTGTCATAATTGTGATGATTATGGCTTACAGCTCATGAAAACCCCAAATCCACAATCTCAGAAAATTAGAATATTGTGAAAAGGTGCAATATTCTAGGCTCAAAGTGTCCCACTCTAATCAGCTAATTAAGCCATAACACACAATCACAATCATGGGAAAGACTGCTGACCTGACAGATGTGCAGAAAACCATCATTGACACCCTCCATAAGGAGGGAAAGCCTCAAAAGGTAATTGCAAAAGAAGTTGGATGTTCCCAAAGTGCTGTATCAAAGCACATTAATAGAAAGTTATGTGGAAGGGAAAAGTGTGGAAGAAAAAGGTGCACAAGCAGCAGGGATGACCGCAGCCTGGAGAGGATTGTCAGGAAAAGGTCATTCAAAAGTGTTGGGGACTTTCACAAGCAGTGGACTGAGGCTGGAGTCAGTGCATCAAGAGCCAGCACACACAGACAGATCCTGGACATGGGCTTCAAATGTCGTATTCCTCTTGTCAAGCCACTCCTGAACAACAAACAACATCAGAAGCGTCTTACCTTGGCTAAAGAAAAACAGACCTGGCCTGTTGCTCAGTGGTCCAAAGTCCTCTTTTCTGATGAGAGCAACTTTTGCATCTCATTTGGAAACCAAGGGCCCAGAGTATGGAGGAAGATTGGAGAGGCACACACTGCAGAATGGTTGAAGTCCAGTGTGACGTTTCCACAGTCTGTGTTGATTTGGGGAGCCATGTCATCTGCTGGTGTTGGTCCACTGTGCTTCATTAAGTTCAGGGTCAATGCAGCCGTCTACCAGGAGATTTTGGAGCACTTCATGCCTTCTTCCGCAAACGAGCTTCATGGGGATGCTGACTTTATTTTCCAGCAGGACTTTGCACCTGCCCACACTGCCAAAAGCACCAAAACAAGGTTCAACGACCATGGGATTACTGTGCTTGATTGGCCAGCAAACTCGCCTGACTTGAACCTCATAGAGAATCTATGGGGCATTGCCAAGAGAAAGATGAAAGACATGAGACCGAACAATGCAGAAGAGCTGAAGGCCGCTATTGAAGCATCCTGGTCTTCCATAACACCTCAGCAGTGCCACAGGCTGATAGCTTCCATGCCATGCCGCATTGAGGCAGTAATTGCTGCCCAATTGTTGGGGCCCAAACCAAGTACTGAGTACATATGCATGCTTCTACTTTTCAGAGGTCCGATATTGTTCTATGTACAATCCTTGTTTTATTGATTGCATGTAATATTCTAATTTTCTGAGATTGTGGATTTGGGGTTTTCATAAGCTGTAAGCCATAATCATCACAATTATGACAAATCACGGCTTGAACTATCTTGCTTTGCATGTAATGAGTCTATCTCATATATTAGTTTCACCTTGTAAGTTGCATTACTGAAATAAATGAACTTTTGCACAGTATTCTAATTTTTCGAGTTTCACCTGTACTTACGCAAGTTTTATATACATATATGCTGCACTTGACTGTTCCACTTAATATATTGATTGTGTGTTTTTAGTGTTGCACTTCTTTATACTTTTGTTTGTTGGGATTGTTACCTATACCTTGAGTGCTAGCTGCTTTAATATTTGCACTAGCACTCGCCTGTATACTTTTTTTTATATATGAAGTTAGAAGCTGATTGGCAACAATGCAGAGCTGCACCAGATTTTGCACTCTCCAATTTCAGTAAACGAACCCCTGTATGTCTGTTGGATGTATGTGGATGCACAGCTCGATGTACATTCTTGGCATGTCTTGGTGCTGAGATAAATTAGCTCCCGTACGCATGAGTGGGAGCTATGTCATCCTGGGCTGGCCTGTCAAAACGTGGCCAAAGACACAGAAACGGAAAAAGACCAGAAAACTGAACGAACATAGAATGGCAGGTGAGGGCGCTAGCATCAGTGGAGGGGTAAGTATAGTGAAGGATAGATCTACTTTAAAAACTGACAAAGGTATTTGCAGACAACACAAAGTGGTGCAATTAAGCAGTACTCTAACTTTAGCATTTTAGACAAGGACAGATTTTTTTTTTAATGACCATAAGAACTGTTTAACTGACAGAGGAACACGTAACAAGTGTCAGTGGACCATATGAAATCACCAGTTAGACATGCTGCGTGTAAAGGTCTATTGTGGATTTATTATATAACAATGAAAAACAAAATATTTTACTTTGGTGCTAAGTAACTTCTTATATCACTTTTTTTTATTTATCGCTATGCTTTATAGTGTATCTATAGTCAAAATTTTAAATCCTATATTTTTTTTCCACACTGACTTCTATTTTCGAGCCTACCCCTATTAATCTGCATTATCTTGAAGTTTAAAAAACTTACTTTTTAAATCGTCCCACACATATATTTTCTTGAATGTTGTTACACATATTTACTATGCCTTTGAATATGTGTGTGTGTCACACATTTCACAGAGCCTACCTTCCAAACTACAGAGGTGGTGAGAGGGGGAGTTTCAGGAGGCAGAATCAGTACAGGAATCAGTGCTTGCAGGCACCAAGTATGCTTATATTGGATCATCAACTATTTCTTGTATTGTTAATACATTGCTGATGTTCTAAAATAATGTATCTGCTTTGACTATTAGATCACTGTTAATATACCTATGTATTATTGCTGTACCACGCTGGAAAAAAAAACAAAGATACTAATTAATTTTAGTTTTACGTCTCAGAAATAAACATCATAATATGTTCCTTCTTATGTTGCAGCCCTTGGAATCGGCAGGAGATCAGACTTACAAAATGCCTGCAGAGCGTTGTGCACGCCTGATTTTGGTGACAGCTGCAAATGACCTGAATGAATCTTGGATCTCAGACCATCCCTATTTACTGATAAGTTACTTCTGGCAGTATGCACCAACATGGGCGTGGTGGATAACAGGGAAACTTGGTCAAAAGAGAATAGAGAACTTTAAAAGTGGACTGGTATGTGCTTTTTAAAAAATGTAAAGATATCATTCAAAGCTGAACTCTAGGCAGATATAAAAGATGCAACTCTGCAATCTTAATTTTCCAGTCTATTCTTCTCTTGAAGTCTATTAAGGGACACTAAGTCTTGCACCTTTGGATTATACTGCTGCCTACAAGAAGATTGGACACTATTCAGCATAACATCTCCTACTACCAGCATGCTTCAGTTTTGTAGCAAATCAGTAGTGAAAACATAACCATAAACACAGAGTGGTGGGACATATGTCTCTCAATAGACTCCAATAACAGGATTTTGAGGGCAAAAATATATATGTTTTTCTTGTTCATTGAGGGGACGTTGGAAGTCTTCAACCTTTGGGATGTTCAAAAACAGTCCAACTGAATAGATTCACACCAAGTGAAGTATGCCTTCCATATCTGATAGCCTTTACAGGAATTTGCCTTCCTAGCTTTTAGCATCATAGGAATCAGAGATTCATAGATGTTCTTGTCTTTCAAAACCTGGGCTTCAACAGTCATGCCTTTAAAGCCAGAGACCATAGATGGTAAAATGGCCCTTGAGACAAAATATCTTGATGATCTGGCTGAGTCCACAGAGCGTCTACCAGGAGTCTTACCAGGTCTACAAACTACATCTGCCTTTTCTAGTCTGCAGCAATTAGAATCATCAGAATGTCTTCCATCTTGGTCCCGCAAAGCGGAGATGAAAAGCATAGATCAGGGTATACCTATCTCACTGAGCCACTACAGCATCCACTGCTTCCACAAGAGGATTCCTATAGCCACTACAGCATCCACTGCTTCTGCAAGAGGATTCCTATAGCCACTACAGCATCCACTGCTTCTGCAAGAGGATCCCTGTTTTTGGCTACAAACCTGTCCAGTTTGTTGTTAAACATGGAGGGCACAAGGTCTACATCCAGCATCTCCAAGTGAGACCAAGGTCTTGGAACATTTCAAGGTGTAAGGACCACTCCCCTGGGTCCAAGCACTGTTGGCTTAGGAAGTCTGCTTGCCAACCTGTCCAGTTTGTTGTTAAACATGGAGGGCACAAGGTCTACATCCAGCATCTCCATGTAAGACCAAGGTCTTGGAACATTTCAAGGTGTAAGGACCACTCCCCTGGGTCCAAGCACTGTTGGCTTAGGAAGTCTGCTTGCCAATCATCTATGCCTAGGATTAACCACACAGGAATGTGAAGTTCTGACCAGGACAGGATCTGATCTACCTCTCTTTTCATACCGAGACGTTTCACCCATGATGGTTGATGTATGTCACCATCATGGTGCTGTCTAATTGGGTCCAGGTTCAAAGACCTTCCAGCAGGATTCCTCTTCAGGCCCACGGGTTGGCACTGGTACCAAACAAACCAGTCTGTCCAGGAATTTGACTGAATTGTCCCACATCGACAGAATGTTGCATTGTCAGAATGTTTCTAACATCCATAGAAAAAGAGTTTGAACATCAGGATGCAATGGGAAAGGACCCAAGACTGGAAAGAGCACTGGTGGAAGTAATAGACTGGTCCTCTAGTTTCATAGTGGTGTGCACCTTATTGAAAAGAACTGAAATGGTCTCTTCAGTCAGAGGCTCGAAGGCTGGTGCTTCAGAAGCTGCAAAGGCAGCAGGTAAATCATATACAGAATTTGTGAGAAGGCACAGAAGCATGCTTGTGGCCTCTGCATTCATAGTTAGCAAATCACTGGGTGGTTTGCACCATAAAGTCTTGCACGACTGCAGCAAAAAGAGCAGATGAACTAGTCACACCCATTGGAGCTAACGAACACTCTGATGACAAAATAAACTTTAGGAACAGAGGGCAAAGGGATTCCAGGCTGTAGACCTCTGCATTATCAGTAAACATGCTGCAAACCGCCCTGGAGCCGAGTGGGAGCGGGGGCATGCTTTTCAGCAATACTGTCCCCCTTCTTCCTGTGTCTAAAATCAAACACGCTGCACCCACATGGCAAGTTAGCATAAAGCTCAGGGTAAGAGGCAAGGCCTCAGGTACTCACAAAACTCAGACTGCTGAGTAGGTGAGGGTCAGATGACTGGAGATAAACAAAGTAGGTGGACAGCAGAAATGATTCAATGTTCCAAATGCCTCTTGCGTGCAATCTTACATTCCTTCCAGAAGATAACAGAGCTTAGTCCCACACTGGCAACCCATTTACTGGCCTATGTAACTGAGCTCAGCCCTACTGGCTTACCAACAATTGCAAAGTGAGTCAGATGCTGAGGTAATGTCAATGGCACTGGACCGAGAAAGTGTTAACTCTTATCAGAATGGAGATTGGAAATCACTCTACACAGAGCCCAGTGCCTGAAGGTCACTTCCAGGTTATCCCTACAACACCCAGTCCAGTGAAGCCTGAACACAGTGCTCCAAAGACCAAACTGAGGGTGAAGAATCTTGATTGAAGAAGAAAAAGTTTGATGAATAAAAAAAAAAAAAGTTCTATCAAAAATAGGTTAACCGTCTTTCATGCAGCAGAGCTGCAAAGAAAACATCTCTCCTCCTACTGAACCACCAGCAGGAGACCAAGGCATGCTGGTAATAACAGGGTTCTCCTGGGGTGGCCTATAGTTCTTTTTTGCAAGCGTTCAAGACTCCTGTAGATGGCCTATAACCTGAAAGTGAAAGACTTCCTGTATCCTTTAATGGAAGAGAAAGAGGAATTATTTTTTATAAACACAAGCAGTTTAAGTACCTGAATGTGACTTGATATCAATCTCTTGCAATCCCTGTATGGTAGACCTCATACTGGGAAAGGGATAAGCAGCACAAGGAGCATGCTGAAAGGAGGAGAGAAGAGTGACAGAAATTAGCTCATCAGTCTCATGCTTCTTTTTTCACTATTTCGTTATAGGCTGGGGGAGGGATATGACCTACAAGTGTTTCTTAATAGCGACAGAGTAAAATCGGGTCTTCTGCCCTGCCAGACAGGACTGAGCTGTATGACAGATCTGTGTAAATCTTAGAACTTGATGGAGAGAAATACAAATCCTTTGGCAGGCAAAACAGCTTGTTGAGATGTACTACATCTTTGTATTTCTTGGCTTCCCTGGAGTTCAGCTTAAATTTTAGAACCTAAAGGCTGTTCAGGACAGCAAACATAGTTAGTCATCTTAAAGCTGAACTGCAAGCATCACTAAATAAAGAGCTCCTTTTGGAGCAAACTACACAACTAGCATGTAGTAGCAATCAATCTCACATTATTGGAGAATGTTCCATTCATGTGTGCTTGATCACAACAAGATGCTACAACATGCTATCTGTGCATCTTAGTCCATAGCAAGCCATTTGTCAAATTTATTTACAGATCATTCACTACAACTAGTGATAAATCACTATTTAGTGAGGTCACACTTAATGAGGTGATTACACGCAATTGGCTAAACCTCTAAGTAGCAAGACATTACAATCACCCGTGTAACATTAGCCTTAGAAAATGTATGTAGTTAACAGAATTGAGACCTCGAGATAAATGTTTGCAAGTCATAGGATTGAGATATTTGTGCCTGGAGTTGCACCTTAAAGATGATGAGCAACAAAATGTATTTTACAACGTTGCAAAAATATTGCATTCAATAGGACATTAGGATTATTAACTGAGACCTGCAATTAACATCCTTATGGAAATTACAGGCGGGGATTGGTGCACTCATAAGAAAGCAGCAGAAATGCTCTTGATTACAAATTCTATATGGGGACTCCCAAGGACAGGAAAAATGAATCTGAAACATTTCACCATATTTCAACTTCAGTTCCAAAGCAGAGTTCTCAGCATGTACCCCACAATGAAATGAGCATGTCACAGTGACCTGCAGTGAGGGAAGTCAGCATTTGCAATTTTGTGTCTTGTACCAGCTAATATCATGTTTATGCAACTACTAGTTACATAGGTGACAGGTACACTTCAGTCTTTTTTTGCCTGTTATATATGCACCATTTGCTTAATTGTATGCACTGTGACTAATATGATGATGTCAGCAGCTCTCTGATTTAGCTGATAGGTGAGATATTTGTACTGCTCTTTGCTTTTGTGTGCTGTTTTAAGGTGATTTTTTTTTCTCTTTCAGGATGCAGATTCTTCCTATCTTTCAAAAAAGACTTCCTAACAGGCGTCTGTGTACCAAACCACGTTACTATTTCTAGTTAGCAGCCTGTCTTTAGAGTGAGCCGGAAAGTGTTGAATGAATGAACAAAAGGGCTTTCTGCATATTACCATGTTTCCTTCTGGATGTATTTGAATGAGACTTTGGGGTTCCTGGACATACTGTAATTCTATAATCTGACCTTGTTCATATATCTCCAAGTCTATATGAACAATCCATAGTAAAGACTGTAAAAAATAATCACCAGTGGGAATACTAATATTCTGTTCCTGGGCATACAGGTTTGCATTGCTTGCTTTCTATTCCAATTTTATCAAAAAGTCCCAATACCCCACCAATACTAATGCATCAAGACTTCATACACAGTGGTGCTACATACAGTCAGGTCCATAAATATTGGGACATCGACACAATTCTAACATTTTTGGCTCTATACACCATCACAATGGATTTGAAATGAAACGAACAAGATGTGCTTTAACTAAAGACTGTCAGCTTTAATTTGAGGGCATTTACATCCAAATCAGGTGAACGGTGTAGGAATTACAACAGTTTGCATATGTGCCTCCCACTTGTTAAGGGACCAAAAGTAATGGGACAGAATAATAATCATAAATCAAACTTTCACTTTTTAATACTTTTTAATACTTGGTTGCAAATCCTTTGCAGTCAATTACAGCTTGAAGTCTGGAACGCATAGACATCACCAAACGCTTTGTTTCATCCCTGGTGATGCTCTGCCAGGCCTCTACTGCAACTGTCTTCAGTTCCTGCTTGTTCTTGGGGCATTTTCCCCTCAGTTTTGTCTTCAGCGAGTGAAATGCATGCTCAATCGGATTCAGGTCAGGTGATTGACTTGGCCATTGCATAACATTCCACTTCTTTCCCTTAAAAAACTCTTTGGTTGCTTTTGCAGTATGCTTTGGGTCATTGTCCATCTGCACTGTGAAGCGGCATCCAATGAGTTCTGAAGCATTTGGCTGAATATGAGCAGATAATATTGCCCGAAACACTTCAGAATTCATCCTGCTGCTTTTGTCAGCAGTCACATCATCAATAAATACAAGAGAACCAGTTCCATTGGCAGCCATACATGCCCATGCCATGACACTACCACCACCATGCTTCACTTATGAGGTGGTATGCTTAGGATCATGAGCAGTTCCTTTCCTTCTCCATACTCTTCTCTTCCCATCACTCTGGTACAAGTTGATCTTGGTCTCATCTGTCCATAGGATGTTGTTCCAGAACTGTGAAGGCTTTTTTAGATGTCGTTTGGCAAACTCTAATCTGGCCTTCCTGTTTTTGAGGCTCACCAATGGTTTACATCTTGTGGTGAACCTTCTGTATTCACTCTGGTGAAGTCTTCTCTTGATTGTTGACTTTGACACACATACACCTACCTCCTGAAGAGTGTTCTTGATCTGGCCAACTGTTGTGAAGGGTGTTTTCTTCATCAGGGAAAGAATTCTTCGGTCATCCACAACAGTTGTTTTCCGTGGTCTTCCGGGTCTTTTGGTGTTGCTGAGCTCACCGGTGTGTTCCTTCTTTTTAAGAATGTTCCAAACAGTTGTTTTGGCCATGCCTAATGTTTTTGCTATCTCTCTGATGGGTTTGTTTTGTTTTTTCAGCCTAATGATGGCTTGCTTCACTGATAGTGACAGCTCTTTGGGTCTCATCTTGAGAGTTGACAGCAACAGATTCCAAATGCAAATAGCACACTTGAAATGAACTCTGGACCTTTTATCTGCTCATTGTAATTGGGATAATGAGGGAATAACACACACCTGGCCATGGAACAGCTGAGAAGCCAATTGTCCCATTACCTTTGGTCCCTTAACAAGTGGGAGGCACATATGCAAACTGTTGTAATTCCTACACCGTTCACCTGATTTGAATGTGAATACCCTCAAATTAAAGCTGACAGTCTTTAGTTAAAGCACATCTTGCTCGTTTCATTTCAAATCCATTGTGGTGGTGTATAGAGACAAAAATGTTAGAATTGAGTCGATGTCCCAATATTTATGGACCTGACTGTATATATGCTGGAATATTCACAGAGTTTTCTGCAGTGTAACATGATGGAGATGAGCCCAGGAAAAGAAACCGTGAACTCTATTGGATGATATAAAGTCAGCATTATTCAAGTTCCAAATGCAAAGAATTGTAATATGTATGCCTATGAACAGAAACACAGGGCCTTGGGCTTCCATCGATGCATGTGGGTGTTAAAGCTCATCCTTATTACTGCAGCACATACAGTATGCATAACATGGGTGGCAAAAGGTTAAAAATACCTTGAGCCAAAATGGTAATGAGAGCTGGAGGCTCTGACTTGAGGAAGCCATGTCCTGCCTCTACCAAGATGGCCACCTCCCACACAAAGACTCAGTGCAGGGGGGGACAGCTTCCAGAGTTCAGTTCTTTTTAAAGGTAGATCAGAGATACAGTACAGTGAGTGGGCATTGTCACCCTAGGAAAGAATGTGTGTTAACTGGAAGAGTTACCAGGAAAAAATAAAGGGAAAAAAGTATGTGAAAAATGAAAACCAACAAAGCCACCAAATTGTAGGGCTGGTAAGCTGCCATTTATTACATTTTTGTTTTGGGATTTCAATCTGCTAAGCCTGTAAGCCAGCCAAGGGCCCTGGTTAAGTTCATTTCTTGTTCCTTGCTGAACCCTCAAGGCTCCGATATGCTTGCTCTTCTTTGCCATATCTATAAATCCCAATGTTTGGTGCTTTGCGATACACTTTGTTGTGTTTCCACATATATTTACAAATGTATGCATCGGTTTTTACTTTAATGTGAACATTTGTGTTAGTTAAGCCCACATTGCTGTGTAACATGACTGAGTGCTGTTCAGTTATTGTGAACTGCAATCAATGTGCATGTTGCTATATCAATTGAGTGACTGTTCTTTTTCTCCTTGCTCTGCACAATTATTGCATTCAATTAATTCCCTGCTGCATTTGACTTTGACAAGCCTGTTTTACTTTGACAAGCCTGTTTTACTATTTTTTCTGAAGAGGGTGCTTTTAAAACTGAATTCCAGGCAAACCAATAAATATACAGGTGAAATACATAACTGACAGCATTTTTACTTGCCAGATTTGCATTTCTGTCCATCCAGCCCTGATATTTATACATCTTAGCCAGACACCAGAATCAGTTTGGTGACCTGAATTTTCTCTACTACAGTTAAATCAATACAGCTTGGTCATTTGACTAGACCAGGGGTAGGCAACCTGCATCTCTCCAGCTGTTGCAGGACTACAAGTTCTATCATGCCTCTGCAAGTCATAGCTGTAACTGTCCGTTTTGTAATGTTGCAATGCCTCATGGGAAATGTAGTTAAACAGCTAGAGTGCCGCAGGTTGCCTACCCCTAGACTAGACAATGAAGGAGAAGCATCCTTGACTGGATAATACTGTTACCCCTTCTACCTTTCTGGATTTTTTTTTACTCATATTGTATTTGAGAATTCAGTTAACAACTGGAAGGCCACAACATTCCCTTCCAAGTTTCCCTATATAGGAACATACATCATAAGAGGTCAACAAGTCAAATTCAGGTACTTAAACTAAAAAAAATACTTTAAACATTTTTTGAATGTATATATAACTGTATTCCTTTGATCTCTACCTGAAATTTAGCCTTAGGTTTATGTCAGTCTAATCTGACTTTCAAGGCTCTGATTGTTTCCAAATAACTAAAACCTGATTTCAGGGGACACTATAGGATTTGGATGTTGAACAAGAATTAATTTTGTTACATATTTTTCAAATACTCTAACAGTTCTTGAGATACATATACAATGAAAGAAAATATAACCCACCACCATCCTCCTCAAACTGAAATATCCTCTATGGGTGGATTGGTCTTTTAACCTGAAAATCACAAATGCCACAGTATCACTCAGGTTTACTACAATCAAAATGAACAGTTTATAAAATAATTATTTTACATTATACACATTTGGTCAAACATTTGTTTAAGTGTACACATATTTACACAGGAAGCCATGACCTATTTTAAGTCACTTGTCAATCTGCTACTGGTTTTATAAAACCGAATGAGTACAGTGACTTAGAGGTAATGTGAAGGGTAACATCACTGTAGCCAACCAAGCGTGCAGTTCAATAAAGTGTGACATGTTTGAACAACAAAAGTCCAACAGCAGTATCTATTCTTGTGTACTGGGTCATAAATTAGTGTTTTCCACTGAACATGCAGAAACACAGTGGAGGGATTAATACAAAGGCACATGGAGAGGTACAGAGGAATAGATTGGATATCCAAGAGGCGGGTCTGCTGCTTGCACCGTTAGGTTCCGTAGTAGCACTGGGTGAGCCTGTATGCTATAGCGCTCCTCATCATCGTTTGTGGCGTACAGAAGTTCCCAGGAAAGGTTTGCCCACTGACCTCGAACAGCTTCTGCATTAAGTTTCCCAATCTGAACCAGTTGCTCTTGAAGGGTGAGTACTCTGCCAGTGTACACGCCCTGGATGCAAGGAAAATATTGGTTAATGTATCTTCTGCCCACCACATTTACATATTAACAAGACCAAAGCAGAGAAATTTTTCATATAGAGATCCAGCTGTCATTTTAGTAGCTAAAGGAGGCTAGTAGTATTATATAACAGCAAGTGCTACAAGTGGGCATATAGCAGACTACTGCTGCTGAACTTAGGGCAAAAAACTAAATACATATATGTGGGAGTTGTCTTACCTGACAAAGTATTTGCATATTTACACAGCCCTGCCAGACATCCTGGTGCCCTGACACAGCTAGGTCCTCCTACCTGCCTCTAACAGTGACTGGATAGTAAAGGTGTGGGAATGGACTGATAAGGCAATCTTTGTTCTTTCCTCCTGTTAGCATGTTCCTTTAATTTCAGCACATTGGATTGGAACCCTATAATGTCCTTCCTTTACAAGAGGCTGAAATTCAGGTGTTTATACTGCCTACATTTCAAAAACAAATTTAAGGATTCTGTTAATAAAGCACAGGTATGTTTTTACCACAGTCATAAAAAAATGGTACATTTATAAATGACCGTGAAGTCACAAAGCAAGCAGCATCCCACAAGGGGTACAAGGACGGGAGGCCAGTCACAGAGACCTGTTAAAGTCATCTAACTATCCTCTGCTCTTATTATCATGATTGTTCCCAAAGTACTTTGAGCTGTATATTTGTATGGAGGAGAGGGCTGGCCTAAATTGATATTCCTAACATATACAAGGTCTAATATCCCAAGAAGGGATCAAAACACATTCTTACCTTTTGAAACATTGGCATCTCACTCCATCAGAATCATCACGTTTAATTCAGATTACAAATTTTATAAGTACCTTTTTCTCTCATACCACAATGTGTCCAACCCTCTTAACACCTTTCAAAAAATATGCAAATCAACTCCACATACCTCTGGAGTTATTTCTCTCCTATACGCTACACAAGTCTCCTCCCAATCCACTAAGAAATCTGCCTACACTCCTGCTTTGGAACTTGACCTAGTCTCTATAGATATTAATGAGTGGGGAAAATCTGATCAACAGTGGCCAAATGTTCCAATAATGCTCTGGCCCAGGAAAATGCATACAAAATGCTCCTTAGCTAGTTTGTGACTCCAGTGAAACAAACACATTTTTCTCCTTCAACCTCCCCTATGTGTTTTAGAGGATGCAATGCTAAAGGGACTTTCACATATTTGTTGGGAATGCCCTGTTGCCCAGCAATTATGGACAAAAAAGTATATGATTTGTAAACATTTTTACAAAACCATAGTTCTGGAAGCCTTACTACATAGACCACATCTTAACTTCAAGAATTCTGATAGAAAATTGATCTCTATTTTTTTTTGGCCACACGATAAACTATTGCAAAAGCTTGGAGGACTACATCCCTGAATTTTACAGAAGTGAAACAAAGAATTATGGGTACTATGGTACATAAAAGTTGACTTCTATTTTACTTGATAATTATTATAGCTTTTTAAAAGTTTGGTTACCATGGCTCGACTATACCAGCAAACCTAATATTGATGATTCTTTGCTTTCTCTCTAAATGTATATAACCACACTTATCACTAGCCTGAGCCCGACATATCCTATATCCTCGTCTTCTCTTCTTTACTTCTTCTCCCTATCCCCCCTCCTTTTCTTTCTTTCTTTCTTTCTTCTTGTCAACCATCCCTACTATATTTAAAATGTTCATATATTATATACATTTATTTATGGTTGTGGGATGTAGGATTTGATACCATAGTTCATTTAATGTAAGTTTATATATTGCATTTCTGTATAACCCTGTATATGTTTCCTGTTCTAAACTTATCACTTAAAATATTGTATCACAGAATCTCTGCCAGGATTTTATTTCCATACGTGTCTTCACCGGGGAAATTTGTGCTCTCTCTGTCCTGGTGACCACTGGAGATTTGTCAGGGTACATTATATTTTGTGTAAGAAACAACTGTGTCTCAGATGAGGAAGGTTGAAAGAACTTAAGAATCTTGGCTGCCCTAGAGTTCTTGGCTTTTCACCCATATTGCACAATAGTGATTTCAACCCTTTACTACATTTAGATTTTTACAAGACTTCATTTGTTATGGTTATTACACTAGATAAGCCTACAAGATGTCAAACTGTCGGAACAGCTGCTTCTGATCCCTTGTGAGCACAAGCAGCTGACACATTCAGAAAATAAGTAACTAAGTCGTAAAGCAAAGTTCATTACAGGTCTCTTAGGCTACAGGAATTATACCTGCAGAATAATACTACATGGTTTAGAACTGAGGTGTGCGACCTTCAGGCCAGGATCCCAATCAGTAGTCATTTTTCAGGGTCTGTAAATTATTGCCAAAAATAAATAAAAGCAAAGCCTACTCTTGATGATCAATGCGTATGCAAGCTCTAACAAAAACGTCACTTATTTCCTACCTTTTGGACTTTTAATATACCCCTGAAAAAGTGTTTTATTAACTTCTATCCACAAGTGGTGAAAGATTACATTCAGGTAGCAAAAATATTCCAACCTGCCAGAAAACTCTAAGCACAACAAACACTTCTTTTCAAATCACTGTTCTATGTTTAAATCCCTCCTTGGCAAAAATGTCATAAGCCATGCTGAAATCTGTTGAATCACGTGATGTAACTGAGCTGTAAATGGCCAAATTAAAGAACAACTCTTTCAAGTGTACCCTTTACCCCACTGACATCCACAAACAAAATTATTACCTCTGCTCCACGTCTTTGAAGAAAGAAGTTCTAGACCCATCCAGTTGCAATGGCTCATATGGCCTATTCGTTCCTAGGGCAATGCTCCCCTGGATGGCTGGAAGCCACCACAAGTGTTAAAATTGAAGCTGTTCTTTAAAAATCTCTTTTGTGCACAATAACCAGATTATAAATTTTTAACTCGCTCTACTGGATTTCATTGGAAACTACATATTTTGAGGATCTCAGAACAGCTGCAGTCCATAGCAACTAAATTGTCCTTTGCATATTTGTGGTGCGTTGAAACAAGAACAGGATTGGTGGCTATATACAGTACATACTGTAAAAAATCCATTTAGTCACTAACTGCTCTCCTAAGTACAAACTTGAAGAAAGATATTTTTTAGTGTTACCTTAACAATCATTGAGATTCCACTTATTATCCCTTGGCAACTAATGAGATTCAATGATTTTGTGATCAAATAATTAATTTTCTTTTATGACTTTGGTCTGTATCTGTGGTTGGTCTGGTTTTTGACAATTTCCCCTTCCATACAAGGGGGAGATTTACTGAAACTGGAGCACTCAGAATCTGGTGCAGCTGTGTATGGCAGTCAATCAGCTTCTAACTTCAGCTTGTTCAATTAAGCTTTGACAATAAAACCTGGAAGCTGGTTGGTTTCTATGCAGAGCTGCATCAGATTCTGCAAACTACAGTTTTAGTAAATCCCCCATCCCTCCACCAATGTGTCTCTTATCAGTTCCTAATTGATCAATTGATGAATACTTCCCTACCCAATCTCTCTATAAATTTAGATCAGCTTATAGGTGAAGCCTCAGGCAGGGTCAAATTACTGGCAGGGCATTTTTTACATGAGTATTAAGCGGTTGAACAAAGCAGTTTAACTAAAACGGCAAGAAGATATTAGAAGAAACAACTATGCACAACTTTAGACAGACTGCCAGCAAACTAAATTTTGTAAAGCACCTATTACAAGTCTGATTCCTACTCCCTATACCCTTTAACATGCTTCCTCTACTCTTTCTTCTCACATTAAAATCCTCTGTTCTAAAATTCTCATTACTTTACCCCTCTTCTGCACCCCAAATCTTACATACACTATATTGCAAAAAGTATTGGGACTCCTGCCTTTACACGCACATGAACTTTAATGGCATCCCAGTCTTAGTCCGTAGGGTCCAATACTGAGTTGGCCCACCCTTTGCAGCTATAACAGTTTCAACTCTTCTGGGAAGGCTGTCCACAAGGTTTAGGAGTGTGTCTATGGCAGCAATGGGCAAACTACGGCCCGGCGGACCTTTTAATCCGGCCCGTGGAGCGTGATACTGTCAGGATGGCTGTCAGGATGTGTGTAGGCGGGGCAGCGTGACGAACGTGAGGGGAGCTAGGCTCCTCTCACAGTCCGCCCTGAAGACCGGAACGGCGCGGGAACACGGCGAGAGGAACGCGCGGAGCAAAGGTAAGTGAATTGACACAGGGGGGACTTGGCTTACTACTTGGGGGGGAATAGTACTATGGGGGATGAAATACTATATGAGGGATGAATTAATATGGGGGATGAAATACTATATGAGGGATGAATTAATATGGGGGATGAATTAATATGGGGAATGAATTACTATAGGGGGGATGAATTACTATATGGGGGATGAATTACTATATGGGGGATTAATTACTATGGGGGATTAATTACTATGGGGGATGAATTACTATGGGGGATGAATTACTATATGGGGGATTAATTACTATGGGGGATGAATTACTATATGGGGGATTAATTACTATGGGGGATGAATTACTATATGGGGGATTAATTACTATGCGGGAATATTACTATACTTACTATGGATGACACATACACATCATTCATCTACTCTTGGTCCGACCCCCGGGTCCAATATATGAACCCATTGCGGCCCTCAAGTCAAAAACTTTGCCCACCCCTGGTCTATGGGAATGTTTGACCATTCTTCTAGAAGCGCATGTGTGAGGTCAGGCACTAATGTCGGACGAGAAGGCCTGGCTCACAGTCTCTGCTCTAATTCATCCCAAAGGTGTTCTATTGGGTTGAGGTCAGGACTCTGTGCAGGCCAGTCAAGTTCCTCCATCCCAAACTCGCTCTTTATGGGCCTTGTTTTGTGCCCTGGTGCGCAGTGATGTTGGAGCAGGAAGGGGCCATCCCCAAACTGTTGCCACAAAGTTGGGAGCATGAAATTGTCCAAAACGTCTTGGTATGCTGATTCCTTAAGAGTTCCCTTCAC